GTTAGCAATAGCAGTTAGCAATAGCAGTTAGACTTATATACCGCTTTATAGGGCTTTCAGCCCTCTCTAAGAGGTTTACAGCATATCGCCCCCACAATCTGGGTCCTCATTTCACCCACCTCGGAAGGATGGAAGGCTGAGTCAACCTTGAGCCGGTGAGATTTGAACCGCCGAACTGTAGATAACAGTCGGCTGAAGTGGCCTGCAGTACTGCACCCTAACCACTGCGCCATCTCGGCTCTTTTTGATGATTTCCTCTGTTGGCATTTTCTTGTACCTAATGCACAAGTTCTTCTGTTTCCATTTAATGCCCAGCATGAAAAAAAAACTCATTGGAAACTTCAGCCGTTCTACTTCCTTCCTTCAGAATTGCCTCTTCATTAAACACAACTATTCATGCGTGTTTAACATAGGGTAAAATATTTTTAACCGCCAACCCAGTAAACATCATGAAGTAGCTCAGGGGTCACTTCTCCACTGCGGAGTCAAAAATCATAATGAATTAAGCTAAAACTTGTTTTTTTTTTAATTAAGTTCACTGCAATCTTAAATATTGGCTGAATTTGTTTCTGCATGAACATAAATTTTAACTTATTTTATTGAGAATTATCGTTGGTTCAGGTGTGGGATATTTCCGTGAGATGTTTATTAATATCTACAGAGATAAAATGTGTGAAAACACAGTCTATTTAAATTTCATTAATTATATACAAGTCTCTGAGGCATCTCGATGAGCTATTACAGGTTTTAAATTTGGTTATTTTCCATTAGCTCAAAAAAAAAAGTGATGTGTGGGAAGAACATTCCATAAATACCAAAAATTTAGGCTGTGGAACCTTTCCAGATCTAACTTATATTTAGCTTAACTTTTCATAATCCTTTTTTTTAGTTTAGTGATAATTTTACAACTGCTATTTGTGAAGCATTTTTATGTCTTTTGATTCATGTTGCAGATTTGCTACTCTATTTTTCTCTCCTGGGGCATTATGAAAACTAAGGATTGCCTTTTCTGATGTTCACATATTTATGAAACATTTTACATTTTACACATTAATAGCTCGAGGAAATCTCTGGGGCTTAACATCAAATAAATATGCACCCACATGAATTTGTAAAGAAGTTCTGGAAAATGTAGAATTCAGGCATTAGAATTCTACTCAGCTGAAGCAGAAATGTGAGGTTCATGCCCATTTTTAAAACATATTTTCATTTAATCTGATTAATTTATTTGGCAGCTTCTGAACCTAGGGAAAAAGATGATTGTTCCTAGTCACTGGAAATCTTGATTCACACCCAGAATGTGTAATGCAAATAATTCACTTGCATGAAGGTTCATATGCAAACTTTCAGCTAAGGGGGAAAAAAGACTAGGAAAAAAAAGGATTGGAGAGGGTGGGGGGAAGAGAAAAAAAACATATTCATTCCTTATAATCCAGCCAAGAAAGATTGGAAGACCTTTGTAACTTCTGTGATAATTAACTTAGTGTGCCCATTTATTTATTTTATTTATATCCTGTCATTATTGTGTTTACAAATAACTCAAGATGGCGAATGCAGGCAATATTCCTTCTTCCTCCCATTTTCCCACAATAACAACCTTGTGGCATAGATTGGGATGAAAGCAGAGGTGGGACTGAAAACTTTTAGCAACCCGTTCTCTGCCAGATTGCTGGGTGGGTGTGGCCATGGTGATATGGCCTACTCGTCATGGTGGGGAAGTGTTTCACCCTCCCCAATCTCTGGAGGCTTTTTTCGAGCCTCTGGGAGAGCAAAAACAGCCTTTCCTGGGCTCCAGAGACCCTCCAGAAACCGGACATCTGGAGCTTCTGGAACTTCCGGGAGGCCCATTTTTCGCCCTCCCATCCCAGAGCCTCCGCATGGGCCCTGCACTTACCTGGCATCCAAAACAGGCCGTGTGGAGACTCCTGGGAGGGGCAGAGCTAGGTGGGGGTGGCCAGCCAGTCCTTTCAACTACCAGTTTGGTGAACCAGACGTAAAATGATCATCCGGTTCACCCGGACCAGTCCAAACTGGCTGAATCTCACCTCTGGCTGAGAGAGACTGACCCAAAGTCACCCAGCTAGTTTTCATTGCTAAAGTGGGATTTGAACTCACAGTCTGCTTTTTTTAGCTGGTGTCTTACCCACTAGACCAAACTGACTCTTTTCATCCTTTGTGAAGAAGACTTTTGTGGGATCTGGAAACTATAGATTAACGAAATAAAGAAGTAATACAGAGAATAATTCTTGCCACTGTTAACTTCTAACCTCCGCATCAAAAACCAGCTCATAGTTGTTTCTTGTCTTGAGTTCCTTATAAAGATATTCCGCAAGTTCCAAAAATTTGTTGATAAGAATTTCAAATCCTCCTGTGCCCTGTAGGATACAAAAGGCAGAACGAACACGAGTCATTCTATTATATACTGCAAGTTTGCAAAGTAAACTTTATCTGGGGGCAACAAACAATTAAAATGAGGTCCTCCCACTGTAAAGTAACATAATGGCTATATTGAAATTTCAGAAGCTGCCTTTTCAAGAATACAAAGATTCCTCTGCAGATTTTTATTAGAGCTTCATTAAAAAGAATGGTAGATAAATACTTTTATTGGTGAGGCCCAGAAATACTGATCAGAATCCATATTATTCTTCATTCATTCATTCACTCACTCATTCAAATGTATTGCAAATGGATATGTGTGTATTCATTTATTAATAGCATTAATTTTCATTGAAAAAAATATTCTCAAGTGATGCGGTTTGTCACAGAATGAACTAAATCTAACATTAAAAACTAAGAAAGCGAGGGTGAGAAGGAAGGGAGGGAGTGTATCGGGAGAGAGGAGTGGTAGAGGGGGAGGGGAAGTAGGGTAGAGGGGAAT